ATGGCAAAATGGAAAAAATCCAGCTTGGATTTCCTGTTTAGTTTTCTGTTGTTTAAGATTGTGTTGAAATTAAGTGTGATTTGGATGTGTTTTATGTAGGATTACTGTGAGATGAATTATTTGTAATATTAGTAATTAAGAAACTCAACCTTCTCCTCCAAGTTCCAACCACTTTCACTTCAAGTTTTACCCTCTAAAAATCCAGATTGTGAAAAATTTTATAATTACACCTTTAGTCAAAGTATTGATGTAACAATGTCTTTGAAATTCAATGCCAATGGATTTATATAACATGCTTCATTGATGCAAGATTTGACATGTTCTGTTGTTAAATTATGTATGTAAATCTGAATTTTTTGCTTCCATGCACACCATTTAATTAACTTCTAACTTACGAACAATTTAGTTTCACATGTGATGAATGATAATGTTATATTGTCGTAGTATTTGACATATTATGGTACATTACACTAATGAATCTAGATTATTTATATGGATATAGGCATTAAATTAAAAGTCCACTCGATCAATATTTTAGGTTCAATGCGAGGGATGCGAAGAGATATTATAGTTGAATTTAACATGTTATGTTGTTAAATTGTCTAACTTTAATATGATGAATAGTATAGATTCATAATCCCACAACATAAACGATAGAACAACGCTTGGCTACTCAAGGATGAGTAGGAGCTTCTACTCAAAATTCTTCGTATTCGAATTACAAAGCTTTGTGCTTATGATCAAAATGTTCATATTATGAATCACTTTGGAAAGATCATCTTTTGCAAAAAATAAATTAAAACTAAGGTTGTTTAGTCAATCTAGTGTAGCAAATACATAGACGGTCTATAATTCTTTTACCTATTCCGTTCATCTATTTTTTGTACAATTTGATGACTAAACGAACCTAGTTTTAATTGATTTTTTTGCAGAGGCGATTTTTACAGAGTGATTTATAACATGAACGGTTCCGATCATAAACACAAAGTTTTGTAAATTGACATTGGACAATTTTGAGTAAAAACTCCTACTCAGTCTTTAAGCAGCCAAATATATTTCATGAATATATATACAAGATTTGTGGTTAAAAGAGAGGAGGTTTGTGTATTGCAGGATGATAAGAGTGGCCGGGGAAGTAGAAGCGCAGAAGCAGTAAAGGGCGGCGGACTTTGGAAGCTTATTGAATAAGTTAAAAGAGAGGAGGTTGCACCGGTATACATGCATGAGAGCATGCAGATTGCAGGCACAGTCGGGGAGCAAACCAGCACACCCAGATCACCTTACGCCACCCCTTGTCGCACACTTGATTCAATAACTCGCAATAATATCTATATTATTTACACTAAAGAAGTCAATATTGGGTTAAGCTACATAATAAGACTTGCTATAATACGCTATAAAGAAGTCAAATTTAAGAAATTTATAGGTGAAGAGAAATAAGCACACTTGAAAGTACTTTTAAAATAAATTAAACGGCTTTAGATTATCAAAAGTGATTCTTACTTTGTTTAACCGAAAAGTTAGAAGTGCTTTTGTCTTCAAAGTACTTTTCTAGTGAACACTTTTATTTTTACTAAAAACTTCAATGTGCTTCTAATAGAAGAGTTTCATTGAAAGTGAAGTGTCTTTTAAAATGAAAATTCTAAACGAATTTCTGCTAAACTGTGATACAACCAAATGAATAAAGTGATTAAATTTATTATTTTTAGCTAACTTGATGCAGTTTTCAAGGTTATTCTTTTCCACGTGCCTTGCCTCATGCTTTGCAGCGATGCACCACCTCCTCCCTCACCACGCACGTTTCCATTTTTCTTATTCATTCGTTCCAACTTTATATATATTTTTTTGTCTTTTATTTTTTTATTTTTTGATGTAGTGGAATTTATTCTGTGCCCTTGGAGTTGGGCAAAAATATCAATAATGTGCCTGCAAAGTGCAAAAGCAAGCGTTGCAAATTCATGAGCCACTCAATCTCCAATTATTCACTCCCTCCGCTGTTGTCCCTGTTAAAATACCCCATTCCCATCGAAGAATACAATTCACCTGCAATCTGCATGCACTCTTTGTCTGGGGAGTGGAGAGGAGATGATGAGTGACACGAGTCCTCTCATACATGTGAATTATTGGAGTTTTAGCAATGTGAATTGTATGTCACAATTTCGATTTGTCATTGGGATTCGCAATTTGAATCAAAATTTTGGACCTTTCTTACTTTTGGTCTTATGTACAATGTTGCCAGGATTAATCGAGGATTTACTGTTGGATAATCGTTTAGTTTTCAATTTCATACAAAATTCATTTGGTGACTTTAAGTTTTCAAAAAGATTATCTTACACTGGTTGAAAAAATTCTAACTGTTTTCGATTTTCAATTTTGTGTAAATTTTAGATTACTAAACAAAGCGTAATCGTGATTATATCTAAAACTGGTAACGAAGTGTAACTTTATCATACTATAGTGTAGATAAGTCTCTCCCCTTCTTGAGGCCCTTGGTTGTTCTTTAACCCCACTTAAAAATGTTCGACCACTCTAAAGTTAAATTATAAAAATCTTTAAAGTAGAGGTAAGATTACCTAGACTGTCTTTGAAAATTTTCACATTATGGTGGAGGGACATGAGACCTACTTATGTTTTTATTTCTTATATGTTAGTAAACGCAGAATACGTAAAAATAAGCATAGTACAAACCACTCGTATACTTATATCTCCACAAAATATCTGCACGGTTTTTCGTCTTTCCTCTGTTATTTGCAGGACTAACTTTGCGAGGAGAAGCCTTTTGTGACTTTATCTTCCATTTGAAAAAAAATACTCGAAAGTTCATTTCACCTAGTGGAATCCAAAGGTTACAAAAAGTAGAATTAGGAAACTAGCACAGTAGCATATGGCCATATACCTCTAATCTACAGAAGTGTTATTGGTACTTCAAAAATCTCATTCTACACTCCTCGCAAGTGTATTTTTCTTCCCAAATATAGAAAATTTGGAATGTAGAATGAGATTTTTGGAGTGTCAATAACAATTCCCCTAATCTAACATAACATCTAAGGATCCCCAAAAGTTTTAGCATAAGTGACCAAAACCTTCAAGGCTAAGGAAGGTTAAAATTCCACTTCTAAGTTTCTAACATCTTTTGTGAGTCCAAATTATTTGAGGATTTGCCTTTAAACATTCTTTTTTTGGTATGCCTTTCAATGGTCTTTACATTTCTGTTTTCTAGTTTTAATTTTAGAATAATACTTGCATCCCTTCTTGAAGGATGAATTCATTCCACACTTGTAAATAATGTGTCTTTACCGTAGAAGCTTTATAATTAGAACTATTCAATATCTTAATCCTTATTTGAAGTAATCCTTACAAAAATCATTCAAAATGGAGATCGTTTAGTCCATTAAATGTATCAAGTAAATGGATGGTTCACCATTAATTTATCATTTGGTACCTACACTGTTGGTTTATTTGATACAATTTGAATGACTAAACGATATCCGATTTAAATGAATTTTTGTAGGAATGATCTTCAAATGAAAGGTAAGACACTGCATAGCTTGGATATTAAACTTCTACAGTGAAGATAATTATTTGCAAATGGAGAAATGAGCTCATTATCAAAGGAAGAATGCAAGTATTATCCTTACCTTCATAACAAATAGAATCGATGATTACAATACTTTTAAAATTTATGCTTTAAAAAGAAAATTTCTCTCGCTTCCATGGTTAATTCTATCCATTCCCCTTAGTGCAGACAATATTATTTGTTTTTTTTTAAATAATTATTATTAGAATTTTGAGAGTAAATACTATAATGAGTTGCAAAACAAAGAATTTATTTACAAAATAAATAAATAAATTTCCCACAAAATACAAGAGGAAAAGTGGGAAATATAATTGGAACCATACTAATAAGTACCCAAAAGAAAAAAGTTGGTATATAATGGTAGTACCATCATGGTTATGGATCCATGAAATGCCTTGCCAAGTTTAGCGAACGATTCTTTCCCTTTTTACAAGCATCCTTTGACATCACTCCCTACTTATAGAAACTGCACTATTGTGCATTCAACCTTGTGAAACAGTGTGTAGTGGGCACTAAATTGATATGTGCAGGCAATCATTCCCTCCCAATACCAACCAACCTAAGTGGTCCAATAGTACGCAAAAATAGTATGAAATAAGCAGTAAATTCAAACGTTCCTGAATTTAAATCTTTACATACGTACAAGTATCTAAATTTACTTAAAGATTGTTTGCCATATGGACACAATCTGAAGTATTAGATAGCAAAACATATCTTTTGTTGGTATGAGCATGAAAACTCCGACTATATGTTTATAGGTCGCAAGTGTTTACGGAAACAAAGTCAAAGCCAGACCTGAAGTGGTCTTGCATCCTCATGCCTCCCCACCCCCAATACATTTTCCAACCCGCTCTAACAAGCGGGTATAAAACATAGAAAACATTCAAAATTAAGTTAATCTCGGCCTCTCCTGTTAAGACGACTTCGATCTTGAATATTTGTATGATAAAATTTTCAGTCACCCATCATCACATGTGTTGAATTCACTTGATAAGTTTGGTTCAGGAAGATTGTACGTATCAGAGTTTTCGTGGATTTTGAGATCTCCATCCTAAACCCAAAAGCAATCCCATTAATCTCATGACTCCCTCTCATCCTTTATCACTGAAAAGATGCACATACCAATTAGCATAGTCACTGCTACGGTGCTACCGTGCTAGTGCCACCACAGGCTACAACCCTAGTCCCTATCCTCGTAATTTTATACAACCAGGAGGGCAACTTATGTAAAGGATCCTAATTCAGAGCTCGTAAAATATCTATTACAGCCTGGCTTTGGCCAAAAAGCCCTGCCCACTGATCGATAAAACATTGCTTAACTAAACGACAAGTCCTACGTGGCATCATGCTTCAAATTACGAGCCCCCACCCCCCATTTCTCTGTGTATATATATTCACTCTGTCTTCCCAACATCATTCGTGCTTCTCCCTCCTTTCTACAAACTCTCTCTCTCTCGCTCTCTCTCTACTTTCTGTCTCTAAGACACATCTCAAATCCTCCGCCATTTACAACGATCCGATTTCGATCCAAATGGGTATTTGCAGCTCGTCCGGGTCGACCCAAGTGGCCACCGCCAAGCTGATTCTACAGGACGGAAAATTGCAAGAATACCCGTATCCGGTAAAGGTCTCCTACGTGCTCCAAAAGAACCCCACCTGCTTCATTTGCAACTCCGACGATATGGACTTCGACGACATCCTTCAGGCCGTCAGCGGTAACGAGGTGCTGCAGCCGGGCCAGCTGTACTTTGCCTTGCCGCTCAGCTGGCTCAAGCACCCGCTGCAGGCGGAGGAGATGGCCGCATTGGCCGTTAAAGCCAGCTCCGCGCTTATGAAGAGTGGCGGCGAGAAATGTGGGTGCCGCCGGAGTTCGGTGTCGTCGCTGATATTTTCCGGCGAGGACGTGAAGGATCGTCGGAGAGTGGTGGCAGCTGGTGCCGGTGGGGGGTCGAGGAGGGGGAGGGGAAATGGGGGTAAAAGGCGGTATGCGGCGGACTTGAGTGCGATTCCGGAGTAGGGTAGTTTGGGAAATAAGACGGAGTAATTGTGTAAATACATTGTAATGATCTGGATGTGATTAGCGGGTCGGTAGATTTACTTGATTTTGTTTTGGAGTTTAATTTGTTTGTCCCCTAACCATTTTGGGGTCGTGTTACAATTTTACCCTGGATGGTTTTGAGAAAACGAAAAACAAAGAGAAAAAGAAGTCACTATACAGATGAGCATTTTGGCGTCCTAGATTTAAAGTTGACAGAGCAGATACAGTGATGCATTTACTCAATTTTGGAAATCTTATCTTTAGCTTGCGTTTTTTAGAACTCAATTTTAATCTCATTTTGACTTTCGAAATTCAAAAGTCGATACTTCAATTTTTCACAATTTGCTCCACTATAACTTGTTTTCATTAAATTCATCGAACATCCATTAAATTTGTTGATCTGGCTCATATAGTGATATATGTAAGGACTAGGATCATCTCAGGACAATGCACTCCGTATCCTAGAAATCCACTAATTTCAGCCGTTCGGAATAGATCTTGCTGTCAAGAATAAATGCTATGTCTATCAATTCACTCTTTTACAAATAAATTTTTTATTGCTTGCATTGCTTTTAAGCAAGAAGGGAAAAAAAAAAACAAGATGGAAATGGATTCGAGAAAAATTTCAAGGACAACTGTTAACGCTCAAAACTGGTGAGGTCAATAAAGACTAAGATAGTCGCGTGTCGGCCCCTGGTGGGCTTCGAGTTTTGCGAACAAAAGGAAATGGACACCATAATTTAAGTGGTTCACTCCTAAAAATTGGACTACAATTGCTAAGTCTCTTGAAAAGATAGATTACAAGGTTACAAATACCGTATAATATCTCTCTCAATTCGTTTGACCATTTCTAAGGAGTACTTGTCTTCTTTTTTATAGGTTCTATGAATCTTCAGCCTCTGGGCTCAAATCTATCACTTCCCTTGCATTTAGTGCACCAAGTGCACATATTTGACCTACTAGTTGTCCCTCCACTTTTTGGGCGACACGTGGCATTGAGGTGACATTTGTGTAGGTTAAATTGCGTGCTTTCTTAGGATGACACGGCAGAGTGCCTTGCTAGACCCTGGGGTTGGTAAAACCCGTACCCAAGCACCTTATTTGTCAGTCATTACGTCCCTTCGTAAACCTTTGTTCCCTTGAGTAGCCACTACGTGGCTTGGAGTTGATGCTTGAGTAAGCATGCCCTTATGTCCTTGGACCTCTTGCCACAAAGCTATCAGTGCACCAACTTGCTCCAAAGTGGTAAAAAAGTACTTTATGGGGAAGAGCTCGGTTTACTTGCTAATGGGACATCTAGAGGCTATGGGCTCTTAAAGCACTCGACTTCATTCTTCAGAGTTCATTAGGCTTTAACCTTTCTTTGGGCCGGTATTGCTTTCAGCCTGCGTTCCTTTGGGCTTGTGTTCCTTTACGTCTGTCGGGGTCAGAAAGGACCTTGTGTTAACAATTCCTTTAACTCCTTTACAAAGGGTTTTTTCTCAGGAATGGAGTTACAAGGTCGATTGGGACCTAGGGGTGACACTTCGGTGTTATGTAATATATGTAGAATATGGTGCCATGGCAGTCAACTTATTCCTCTGCGAGAGCTTGGCTCAGAATTCCATCAGTCATCATACTCTTGAGTTGGGGGTTAGTGTTGTCAGAAATATGTGTTTGTCAAGACGCCTCAGTATTGAAGATGTAGGTTGGTGGCACAATCGAGGCACCTCAGTATTGAAGACGTAGCTAACATACATGACCTCATGGCTCATGAAGTTGTTTCACTTCTCTTCCGCTTCAGAGATTGAGCAAGTGGGCCGCCACGTATCACGATTTGGTCGTTTTGGTTCTCATTCATCAACGGTTAAGATCGAGTGCTTCAAACTATATAATTTTGCCCTCATATTGGAACCCTCACTTCATTCTGCTTCTTCAATCGAAACTCTAACGAATTCACTATGCGATTATCTTCAACAACCTAAGCTTTACCATGCACAAGTCTTATACTTTTCCTTCTAAATTCTCTCAGATTGGTTTCTCGTGTTAGCATTTCTTTTCGTCTTCCTTTAGTACATTTTGAGTAGGTTATATTTTACTCTGAATCTCCTGCTATAGGTTGTCATCAATGTGAAAAGACGTTGACAGGGACCAAATTTAACTAGTTCAGTTTGCATAATGGAGTAAGGCATCTTTTCCGATTTGAATCTATAACGTTAAATTTCCTTAGTAATTAAGGCCTAAATGTGAAAGTAGTTTACTTCACATTTCTAAGACCCCCCAAAATATGTGTAGATACCGAGCACAATCAATGTTAAGTGCTTTTGATTTTGAAAATGACTGCTAAGAGGCTCAAGACTACAAGTAGTCGATCGAGAAAGAGATGCCGAACACGATGACTTTGAGGATCTCTCTGGTAGATCGAGTAGCATTCCTATTCGTCGACATCAGTTATATACTTAAGGGACTTTTATTTGATAGAGCATGGACACAAGCCCACTTTCCTTTTTTGCAGAGGGATAACTTGGAACAGGCCATGGATCGAGCCGCTACCATCAAGATAACCAATGAAGAATTGCTTGATTTCACTGAATGCCTGATGTTGTGCAAATATAGCATTCTTGGATGATAAGGGAAATATTTTCCTTGTGAGTTCCGATAGAGGGTATGCGATCATTCGTTCCCTTACAAGGTTGGGATGCCAATTGACCCTTATTATTATGTAGACTCGAAATCATACCGATGATCACATTGTTAGCGTTATGACCACGTCAAGGTTGAAGGTGTTGAGAAATAGGTACCAAATCCCGATCGATGTTATCTTTCGAGTGCCAATTGAAAGATAAATGCTGAGTTGACCGTCACACGGCTAGGTGCATTTTTCTGCTGAACTCTTCAAGTCAGGCGTTCCACTGTCCCTTCACCTTTTCCTCCAGAGGGTTGTGGCCCATATAGGTCTAGCTCTTAACCAGCTCAACTCGAATGCCATTCACTTCTTTCTTAGCATGTACGTGCTTTGGATAGAGCACCGCCAGACATAACCCAGTTTTAGCGTAATTAAGCACTGTTACAAATTGAGAACAGTCCTGGCCATGTGGGGTTCCATCACGTGCTTGGCTTGTTCTTGCTATTTGTCGATAACGCTTCTAACTAAAGGCCCTTTAAGGAGAATTGGTTCCTTGTTGGCAGCAATTGGGAGAGCTTAGCGAGGTTGAGGTGATAGACGCTCGTGTTGCCAGGTGCTTGCATTGCCAAATGTTGAGGGCGAAGGGTAAGAAACGACATAAGTGATAGTTTTATGATTCTTGTTTTCCACCAGCCTTCTAATTATGGTTTTGTTTTGTTTGTATTGATTGGATGAGAATGATCCCTTTTCCGTGAAAAAAAAAAAGAGCTTCAATCAGTGGGTATGTCCTCTTTGCGTTCACAAAAACTCTCAACCACCATTATACTTACTGACCGTCGTTTACGAGCCATTGGTTTTTCTAAGAGGTAAGCTATGTTGGACTTCAATTTTGTTGTTATTCTTTTTTTCCTTTATTCATTCTCATAACTTATACTAATGCCGAGCCTTAATATCTTCGTCATTTCATCCTTGGTAGAGTTTCGTACATCATTTCATCCTTGGTAAAGTTCCGTACAATGTACTCACAGTTGATCTTTGTCCCACAGAGGGAGAAATGGCCGAAATGGATGTTGGATGGAGTGGGTCGCTCGCTGAGTGATGGGGAAGAAGAGTGCCCCTATTAACGCTCGGAAGAAGTATGTTGGACGGGGGATCGATCGGGAAGGCGATCGCGACCCTTATACGGTGGTAGTGTCGCAAAGTTCCTCTGGTATCAGCCAAGAAAGATCTGCTGGAAAACACCCGTTGGTCGGCTGCTCAAGCCACCAAGAAACAAGTGCTCTGGTCTTCTGCTCCAGCCGCCAAAAGACCAAGGTTGCGTTTGAGGACGAGTGGGTTGGGCAATATTGCAATCCTTCTACCTCGATAGGGTGATTAAACTTTAGCCTACTTATCTAGTTTGTAATAAGCATGTTCAGACTTTTGATTGTATGCACAATACACATTATTTATGATAATTGTTTTATGTACTATTGCTATACTCTTAGCATTATGTGATAATAATATGGTTGAACTTTAATATGTCCCTAAGTTAGGAAGTTGTTTTTAGGATTTGCAGGATAATTTTTTAGTATTCAATAAAATTGAGCTTTTAAGTTCAAATTCTTTCACATTTTTAATTTATTGCCTATGGCTTCGTCATCATTTTGGTGATTGCTAGTACATTTCTACCCTTGGTTCAATGCTATCGGGCTTGAGTTGTGTGATGTTAGCCACAGTGTTCGCATGCTTGGTGAAGACGGAAGAGGATCCTCTCCGGATCCACTTTGTAGAGATCCTTAGTCGTTCATCGTACATCGTGCATTCAGTTTTCTTCAGGTACTATTTGTGTTTAATTTTAAATAAAAAAAGTCAAATGATTTCTGACTGCACGATGCACGATAAATGGCTAAGATGTGAGAATCCCTAGGACCCCCACAATTTGGATTCGAATGGGATCCAAATCCAGGGAGGAAGATTCTCTCCCCTCCTAATCTCTCCCCCCTTCCCTCCCCTCCCCTCATACTTGAACAGTGACGGTTAAGTCACGTTAACATGTTATATTGATATTATTTATAGAGACAATAAGGAAAAAAAAAAAAATATGTGAGAGGAGGGGAGAGAAAAAGACGATAGTAGGAGATGAGAGAATCCTACTCCCAAATCCGATGGGGACAACTTCAATCTGCCAATGCAGCAGCATTGGGTTCCGTGAATTCAATGATACTTGTCTCACTAGAAGGAAATATATATAGTTGCACAAACCCTAAATAAATAATCTAGAAAACCAATTAAGGAAAGGAATCTTCAATGCAATCAAATTACAATTTACCTTTCTACTCTAATTGTCACAATATGTTTATAAAGAATGGATTTGGACTAATGTATAACAATTCTTTTTATCCTTGTGTGTTCAAAAAGATTAAATTTTAAATTAAATTAGTTTTTAACAATGTCAAAACTACAATCTAATATTCACAGTCGTATTTATAACATTGGCTTGTGTACAACGTCCAAAAACCATGCATGCGTCATGATGAATAGTGCAATCAGACAATGATATGTCATGGGTCTCATCTCTTGGCCTGGTTCGTGGGAAGTGTTTTTGTTTGCCATATTGTTTGGATGTATAATAACACCACGATATATATAAAATTGTTTAGGTTTTTGGTGAGTAGCGTATCAGAAGAGTAAACCACGACAGTGAGCGTTGTGTCTGCGTGTGAGTAATAACGGCAGAGAAGCTAGCAGAAGTAGATCGAGAGAGGGAGCTGCCATTTTTTGCATGGGATGCTTTGTACGTTAGTACAGGGATACAGCTGTTACGATATGTTTAGTTCATTTGGATCCAGTAGGGTTTCATCGAACGCGTAAGTCTAGTAAAGAAAGGAATGGGTTGAAATTTTCAATTATTTGAAAGTAACTTTCCTGGCATCCTCTGGTGCAGGTAAGTACCAACGTAGCTGGTTAGGGTTAACAATTACAAGTTGCAAGCTTTGTAATATTTTATTTTGTTTCATTAATTTAAGGATGTGACTTCAATGTTACATAGTACTCAGTACTACAAATGATTTAGTCATTAGATTTTATTTTCGTAATTGTCATATCGCCTATTTTCAACCTTAATAATTCATTTGATTATCACTTACTGCTATGTACCAGTAGAAAAATTTATTAATTTACAACCAATTATAATTTTAGACATTTATTAACTTTTTTTTCAGTCGAAAGACATTTAGTTACTAATTCTTGTAATTCAAGGACAATTTGACTTAAGTTTTAACGAAATTAGCATGTTGGGTACTTGTCATGGGAGTTTTACACCTCGATCTAAAAAGTATAATTTATCTCACTTAAAAGCTACTCAGGTTGTGATTCCATCAAAATTAATTATTGATGAAATGCTGTCCTGAAATAACTAAAAATTTAGATTATATGCCTAAAGCAGAGTAAGAGTTTATAATAATTAATTTAACCTAATTAATACCTATATATAATTATGTGAATGTGTGTGACAGCCTTGTCAACACTGTACTTAAATTAAAAAATAGAGTGGGAATTTATGATTTATGTTAAATATGCAAATGTAAATTGTAAGGGAAATAAGTTCACCTACAATTGACAGTAGAAAATTAATCCTGATATGTTATTTAATTAAAATACATGTACAAACTATACAAGTGGAAAAGCAAAACCCCAATACGGGGAACAACTTGAAATTTCATCATCATTCTAACAAGCTTGGCTAATTGGCAGGCGACCATTGACCAATCCCAACAAATTATAATAATTATCCAAAACCTAACTCAGTGGTCCTCAAGCAAATCAAATAAATAAAACTAATAATAATCAAAGTTTTAATTTGTGGTCCTGATCTGGTTCTCGTGAGTTGGTCGATCCAAGGTGACATATACTGATATGTATACTGTAACTATGGAAATAAATCTCGGAACGATTAACATATTGTCTATAGATTATATATATGCGTATGGGTGCCATGTTCCTCGATTTGCCCACTGAGAATCTTTCTATTTCTACCAAAAGAACAAGTTGGTAATCGATGATGAGCGGTACTCGTTTTACTTAGGTGTAGTTGATGTGGCAAGATATGATTTATCGACTTTGTATTTGACATCAAAATCTAGATTTTCACATCAAGCACCAAAAGATCGATTCAAGGCAATTATTTGAATTTGTTTAAGTTTAATAGTTGACAACGTTAATATTAATTTGTTATCCATATATATGAGTTTTTTTTTCTCTGTTCATAAAAGATAATTAATTTCTAGGGATTAAAACTTCAGATATCATGTTTAGAGATAAACTGTCTTGATCACTTGAATTAAAAGTGTTGACATATATGTTCGACTTTTAACCACCATAGTTTAAAGACCAGGACATAAATATTGGCCAAAAGCTAAATAAATATTTTCTGCCTCGAAAATTAGGGGCCCGTTTGATTTAGAGGAGAAAGACATGGGAGAAATGAGTGAAATAAAGGAGTGAAGGATGAATATGGTAAGAGACATGATAAGAAAGACAAAAAAAAAAAAAAAAAAGTAATTAAAAACAAAAATCCTTTTAAATTGTTTTCACTTTCAAAAATATATTTTCTTTCTTTCTTCTGCATTTGTTCTCCTACCCCTCACCACCCTTCACTCCTTTCTTGTCTATAAGCTTCCCATATCAACATTAAAAAAGAAAACTAAAGATCAAATGATTATCGTCATAAAATACTCATCATGTCACCTTTCATTCTATTGAGTTTGTTGAGATAATGGCAGGAGAACAACATTACTTATATATCTTTCATTTGTAGGTATACAATTTTCATTTACAATCATCATATATAGCAGCTCTATTGCAAGTGTGGGACATAATGTACTCCACATCTAACAAGTTGGTGGTTGCAACTGGACGAATTGATAAGTACACTTAGCCATATTCGTGAACATAATGTACCCCATTTCCCACAAGTTATAGGCCTCCTAAACTACACAGTGACAAGTGCATGGGACTACATGTCTGCAAAAACTCGTACTGAAAACTATTGGTTTGGTTGAAATTTATCATAGTGTATTTACTTCTGTTTCAAGAACAAGAAACAGAACGATTTGAATTATATAGTAGGGTTTCAAATCGCTGTCCTCCACTAAAAGCTTGTATTTTATGTGTTTGTTTGAGAGTGAGAAGATTCCGAGCCACTTACTTTGGTTGCAAGTTGAGGAGTCCTAAAGTACTCCCATAAAGCATATGCATGCATGATTTGAAAATTTATAGCTTTGCGAAGCTACTTATTTTGGCTCAACTCCATTCCCGACTTCAAAACTTCAACATTTGGCCCCCACTTTCTTTTTCCCTTTTGATTCAAATGGTTTACATTACTTTGATCGTTAAGTTTTTGGATCCAGCTGTTGATCACAATATTCATATGCCTAGATGACTAGGGAACCCTAAATATGATTTTACATGTACACAAAATTGATATACTTGTTAGGTGAAGTGTCGGTTTAGTTCTTGAACTATCACCTCAGTGAAAATTAGGTCTCTAAATTATTTCTTCGGTAAGATAAGTCCCTAAATTCATTAAAAATTGTCAATTTCATCCCTACTATTATATTCAAAACTATTTTATCCAATTTTCCGTCAACTTAAGTCACTTGACACACTTTAGAATGAAATGTCATTATTTTCTCACCTGTAAGCTCTTAACATTTGATATAGGTTGTGGATCTAGCACGTAATTTACCCTCCAAAGTTAACTTACACTATTTCTTATGAAAAAACTATCAATTTACCCTCCAAAGTTAATTCCATACATTATTTCTTTATGAAAAACTACCAATCTACCCTCCAATGTGTATCATATGCAATTAACGTAACTTAAATTGACAGAAAATTAAATATAGTAGCTTTGAATATAACATTAGGAATGTAATTTGCAGATTTTTATAATTCAAGGACTAATTTTCTGAAAAAAAAATAGTTTAAGGATCTAATTTTCATTAAGGTGATAATTCATATACTAAATTGGCAGTTCACAACAATAATATAACTTACTTCTTGTTAGAATGTATGTCATCAAATTTTGAATTTTTTATGTCCAAATAATTTTATTGTTTCGTGAAATTTGTAATATGTAGGTTTCTTGTCTCATTTATTTTTTTTTTTTTGGGTCGAGTAGGTTTCTTGTCTCTACGTGCATTATTTTGTCTCTCATTACAATTTCACCAACGAATGTGAGGCGAAAGACAATGATATAAGTGATGTTATCTGTACTTGGAGCAAGCATACAACTTGGAAATTGCTCACATGCTTTGGAATTGAAATAATAATGGTAGTGGACTTTTAAATACTTAGAATTTTGTTAAGTCCATTTAGAATGTAGTGAGAGTCTTAGAAGTTGTAATTCATTTATGCTTCCTTTTATCTTTTCCTTGGTCTTACTTTCCTCCTCGCTACTATCCTCATCAACTTCATTCACAAAATGATT